AGAAGAGGAATTTAACAGCAGCRAGAACAGCTAGTTCTCAGCTGCCTCTCAGTGCACCCACAAGCTCTTGCTGCATCCAAGCAGAAGTGCAGCTTCCCAACCAGGTGCAGCACCTTCAGTGCCTCCTCCTTGCCTCCCCCGAGCCTTTATAACCTCAGACCTCCCAGGTGCACAGCTCCTAGTCTGATTGGGCCCTTTCAATCAAGATAAGGAAGCCCAGCCCACAGCCTGCTTTAATAAACAACTYTAGCTGTGAAGCCTGTTGATCAGTGAGAGTCCCTCCCTCCTCAGATGTGCAGAGGAGTGGGCAGATGCAGGATGTTTTGCATAAAGGAGAGTTTTAATTCCATCTCTTTAGCAATCACCGAGCAAAGCAGCCTGGAGGCAAGCTCTCTATATGAACMCTAGGTCCTGTGACTGCTCAGAAGCTCGCCCTGTTTAACACCGTGCTTGTTCCTTTCTGTTTCAGAAAAGGTTTGCAGGAGACTCACGTTACAATCCGATGCAGCTGCCACAGCTGAGATGTCAGAATCTCTTGCAAAATCAGCAGATCATGAGTTTGTCCAGTTAGCGGAATTGAATTCAGCTGGCAAGGAAACCTGCCCAAGAGCAAAGGATTTTCTGTAGGGCCTTATCTACCCCAGGTTTGGCCTCTCTTACACAGCTAGGGGTGGATTTGCTGACCCTTAATGAGCAGGCAAAGCTGTGCAGGGGTGGGAGGGAGTTTTGGTTTACTCAGTACAATCTCTGGGCTGTGAGAAGGTCTGGTTCTATACTTAGATTTCATTGTGATGCAGTATTAAATTATCCACATCAGTCTAATTACCACCTTGCAAGCCACAGGTGAAGATAAGGCAGATGGACAGCCTTAAAGCCTGGATAAGCAGAGCTATGAGTAGCACTGCTGGCACAGGCACTGTCTAGATCCATTTTTTACTAAAACTAAGTTGCTTCAGTTGGACTAACACCATGTGAAAAAAAAAAAATATATATATATATATACATCTTTCTCTTCTATGGAAATCACATGAAATTTTGCCATGTGTTACTCTGTCACTTATCCCTGTGGATGGGATAGCTTATCTCACACTAGCTGAAAAGAAAAATAAATAAAGAGCAAGCTTTCCAGAGCAGAGGCAGTTTCTTATATGTATTAGGCCTATACAAGCCTGAAGATGGAAGTCTGCTCTCATCTGAGGCCTTTGGATGCTTGTACAGTATAAATATTTACTAATAACATGGAGAGAGTGAGAGCAGGAGAACAGATATTTTTCTCAGTGGCCTAGGGTTAAGTACAGGGCAATGGCATCTTAAATCCAGATGTTCTCCTTTTGGGATTTGCCCACGAGGCATATTCTCATGAGATTTCTCTGGCATTTTGATTTGGATAGTAGCAAGCACTTTTAGCCCAATGATATCATGAGCAGATGACTCAAAACGTTCAAGGATTTCTTTGTAAATTCCAGCAGTTTATTTTATGACTAACGCACAGGGAAGAAAGTTTTGTGGGTTTGATCTTCTGATGCTCCCATGTTTCCATTTGCAGTTAGTTTGAAAGRATGTCATATTGGGCCGGCTAGCAGAGGAGTATGTTTAAATTTCTGTACTATATGTAAATAAAGATATTGCATGTGTGTGTTTGGAAGCTGTTCGCAATCATCGGAACAGCAATGCATCCCTCTGAAAGGAAAGAAGCAATAGGATATTGGGGGCTGCTGCTTTGGGAATGTGAGCTAGGAGAACTCTGCAAAACTCTTCCCCTTGTAATCGTGGCAAGACGTAATATTTAACACTATCACCTGTGCTCAAAAAGATGAGTTCACAAGTCACAATTCAGTCACCTGCTATCAAAATCATAGGAGTTCCCAGATCCTCAGTTCTAAATAATRCACCTTGAATGAGAAGCGGGTGGATGGAAACACACACGAGGACACACACTGCTTCCCAGCCGTGGGAAAGCAACCCATTTTTAAAGACAGAGCCAATGCCAGAACCAGGTGAACCAACGTGGGGAACATCTCCGAGGTGAACCCAGGCCGGTGCAGCCAATGCAGCATCACAGCATCATCAACCCCGGCCTCGCACGGGGGCGATTTTTCTCCCCGTCCAATTCACCAAGGACTTGCACGCTACTTGGGTGGATTTTCTGCACAATTACAGATTATTGCCATGGTAACGGAGGCATCACATGACAACTCTGTTACCTCAGAGACGAGAAACAGCTGCTTAAAGGAACAGGCAGCCGCCAGGAAGGGAGCTCTGGACTGACTTATTTATTTATTTTTCCATTGCTCTCGCATTGTTCTGAGAGTCCTTGCTGGCTTTCTCACGGATGCARCTTACATCACTGAGAGAGTCAAAAATGGTTCAATGGATCAACTGGAAGTTACTTTCCCCTGTGTCATATTTTCCCTGCTAGGAAATGCAGCATATGCTCAATGGAAAAAGGGGGAAAAAAAAAAAAGCAAGCAGGGGAAGAGGGAGTGATAAAAAAAAAATAAAAAAGGTTAAAAAAGGAAAAAAAAAGGAGTCCCTGGAATTTTGGGAGAAGTGAATGGCTTTTTTTCCCCTCCCTTAGCAGGGCAGCAGCTCTCTTTAGTGCTGCCATTTTACTTTTATTAAGTTAAGAATGGGAAGATGGCTAATAACATTATTTAAGAGAAATAGCAGGCGCCTGGAGTGAGCGCACACTTGCCCTTGAGCCGAGGGCTCTGGCGTGTGGAGGAAGCACCGTATGGCACCATGGGCACCCACTCAGGACTTCGTGAATCCCGAGGCCCGCGGGCACCCTCAGCGAGGGCAGAGAGGCACCCGCATGGTTCTGCAGTCAGTGCTTGCACTTAGGACAGGGTTGTTTGCAGGTGTCACTCGCTGTGGCTTCAACTTGCTGTCCSTGCTGTCCCTGCAGCCTGCGCGGTGGCCCTCTGCAGCACTGCCTGCCTGGGCCACGCAGCTCCAAGGCTCCCGAGCCACCCAGGTAATTAAGGCGCTCCCAGCTCTCAGGCTTGTGCTCCGACCATGTCGGCCCCCAGCGAGAAGCTGATTAATTAGAGGCTTATAATTAACCTTCAYGACTGGAATTTCCCCAAGACCTTCACGGGCCGAGGTGTGCAAATCCCCCAGCTTTGCACTGGGGGCTGGAACCACATCCACATCTCCTCCGTTCCTCACCATGGATCTCYTAGCGCACCGGCAAAGTCCATTTTCCCCGTCCTGCCACTTGCACTGCCTTGAAGAGCAGTTGAGGCCTCRGAGAGAGATAGAAAGCACATCATTTGTGGAAAGCAATTCTGTGCCCTCGTCTACTACCTCCGCCGCTGCTAATGTTATGGGTATTTGCATGGCTGGAGCCCAGTGCCCGCAAGCTCAGCTGCTCTGCTCCAAATTGCACCATTCTCCGTCACACGCAGCAGCGCTTCAGATTTACCCCAGCAAGAGGGAGRGCAAGGGTCCATCCTGCAGCCTCCGTGCAAATAGCCTCTGTAATGAGGACTAAGGAAGAGGAATGCATCAAGTGGGAGATAAACCCCGAGTTTATTTTGGTTTTAGTCCATCTTTTCCTAGTTTCTTTCAGGAGGCCCATTCTTACATATTAACTGGGAATCCACCTCTTCACAGGACATTTTTGTTAATGAGGCCATTGCCTTAATGGGGTTTTCTGCAGTTAAATATTTCTGGTAAATGAAATTCTATTGAACAGCTTAATTTAGCACTGGTTATTGTTGTTGTTGTCTTTATCTTGTTTGACCACACACCATTCAGCAATTTGTCTTTCTGTCTATTTTTAAATTTCATGGGGACCTCTCCTCAGACTGACTTTTTTTTAAAGAAGCATGAGAACGGGGGGCTAAAACAATGCCACTTTGTTTTTGTTCCGCATGTGCTCAGGATCACCAGTGCAATGAGTTTTTCAGCTCTCAGCCCAGGCTCTGGTGAACCCAGAAGCTCTCCTTGCCCACCAATGCTCCTAACCTGCTGATGTCCAAAGCACATTAACATCACCTGGGAGAATCTGCCTGCCTCTTCACTGGTGCACAATCCCTTCCTTTTGTTCTTCTAAAGCACCCTCCAAAGGCCAATTCTGACTTAAATGTGGACAGTGGCTGAATTTCGCCCAGACCTAACCAAGGTCCCAGCCTGGAGATTTCTTTTTCCTTCCGATTTCTCGGGTTTGATTGCGGCAGTGCTGCTGGAGCAGCCCCAAGGGAGGCATCAGCACGGCGAGGCTGCGGAGCACAGAGAACCCTGCGACACCTTCCCGGCCCACGGAGCTTCGGCAACGGCAGGACGAGGCTCTTGCTAATGCTGATGGAAAACAAGTCACATCCAGTTCCTTTAGGTATCACAAAACTGAGAGCACAGGGGGAAAAATTCCCTATCTTTCCAGCATCCCCTTGAAACGAATCAAGGCCAGGAGTCACCAGGAACTCTGCAAATGAAGTGTGTGTCCTTTAACAGCACCGATTGCTCAAATTCAAAAGAACTTGAATTTGGCCATTCTGGCCATTAAAAAAAAAAAAAAAAAAAAAAAAAAAAAAAACTTGAGCTTGTTCTATTTCTAACAAACCCTATTTTTTTTTTTTTAACCCATTTCCCACGTTAAGGTTCTCTGGCCTAAAACTCAGTGATCAAGTTGTATTAACTCAGCTTTAAAAAACAGAATGAGATATTGCGTAGGTGCCTCCATTTTTTTTTTTTTTAATCATCCCCCCCTCTTCACATACAATTACTTTTAGAGCCTAACAGACATTTTAGTTTCCCTTTGGTGAGGAAGAAACAAGGGGAAGAGAGACGCATTTAGTTCCCAAGTAAAGTAAAAGCAGAAAATCAGCCACTTGAAATGTCCCGAACTTAAACACAGCATTACGCAGAATTAACAGACTAGACCTCCAAGCCATCAGAAATTCCCAGTTGAATAAAAGATTGATTTCAAAGACTCAAAGATACCTCAAGGCCAGCATTTCCAAAGAAGACAGGAGCTGATTGGAGCTGAAGCATTCCTCTTGTTCCGTGCATTTGAGTGAGCACTTTAAGTCTCCAAAGATTGAACTATAAAGAGAAATTAGTTTATTAATAATTCACAGGCTCCAAGAAGAAAAAATGTCAAAAGCATATGCTCACGAACAAAGCTGATTTTATTTTCCCTGTTTAGAATTGAGCAACATGTAGAAAAGTGGAGGGTGTTGAGCTCAAAAATTTAATTCAGGGCTTTTTCTCTTCCTTCCCTTTAACCCAAGCAAGCATATATTCTGACTTCCTCATGAGCACTGAAAGTTCTTCAAATCCCAAATGGTTTATGTGAAACATTAAAAGCACGCTATCATCTTCAGCTCTTTAATAGTTTAGGACATTTTCATGGCATAGTTATTATCCAATAGCTCTTAATTGCAGCTTGTACATCTCAAGACAACACATTTACAGACTGGAATAACAGAGATTTTCAACTCGCAGCCCTGGAACGTAGTTAAGCACATGCTTTACTGTTAAGCACATGAGATATTTCACCAAATTTGGCACATCCTCACCCTGCTTCCCAAAGCATAGGAAATCTGTAAGGATATTCATATACATAAAATCAATTGTAGTTTTACATTTCATTCATTTATGGCATCATGATTCTATGATTGTTCCATACAATTTGGGCAATTATGTGATTAGAGRACAATAGATGAATACAAGAACTGAAGATTATATTTACTAAAATCCAACAAAAGACAGACAATAAGGAGAATCTCAATTCAAGATCAAATGTCTTCCCTTTTCCAAAGAAAGAATAAGAGTAGGATTGTTTTCAAAATTTTGGGTCTCTTTCTTCAATTTAATATTGACTTTTGTCATAAAGSTCCTTGATTCCCTCTACTGGAGAGCCGAAAGCAAAAGTAAATAGATAAATTTTAAAAATTGTTAACTCACAAATAATTTGGGACATTTCCTTTGTCCTAGGAGAAAAGCCAAATCATAAAAGCTTAAAAATAAAACAAAAACTTTCTTTGAAAACTTTCACGGGAAATATTTACTATGTGGTGCTTTCAGTTTGCGAGTATCAGCTACCTATCTCAAAGTGCTTTTGAAGCACTCTGCAAGGTCAGTAGCTCTCACAGCATCAAGGGAATACTGAAACTACAAAAGAATGAGGCCATTGAGGTTCCTATCCATATCTCACCTATACAAATCAGATTATAGCAGTAAAGGCTCCATGTGGACCATACCGTATAGTCCACACATAAACTGAACGTGCAAGTGGGAAGATGATTATTAATGTCACTGGCTGTGATATGGAAGACACAGGCATAGAGGATATCTCCCGGATAAGGCACAGACCTATGAGACCTTTCTTTCCTCCCCTAATTTCATCTCACTTCTGCAGATTGGACTATTTTGGGGAATAATTATCCTCAGTGATAATTTACATGATTAGGTTTAGAAAGTATGAGCCGAATAACATGCTTGCAAATCAGGAACATAATTAAATTTTGGAGGTGGCTGATCTATCTCTTAAAGAGCAGCAGGCAATGGCGGGGGGTCCATAAAACGTCCTGACCATGACTATTGCACTCTGCATTGCCCTTTGGGATGTACAGTCTCCCTTCATAACATGGCCTGGAGAAAAGACCACAGGGCAGGGAGAGGAACATCACATCTGAGTCTTGTCTAGGTAGCTGGGTTAACATAATGCTTTCTTATACAAGAAACAGTACGTGGAAAGTCCCCAAATACCATAGCTTTTAAAAACATGTTTGCCAGCAGCCCAGTTCTTACAGGATTGTGTCCAGGACCAATATTACTCTGCACCACAGAAGAACTGCTTGAAAAGGTGGATTGCTCCCCAATCTACTGTCCAAAAAGGAAGGGTAGGAAACAATGTGGTTTCTCCCTGTTCTCATCCAGATAAGTGTGCTCCCCAAAAGGACTAAGCATCAGCTGCTACTACTGGGCTTTTTTTTTTTTTTTTTTTCCTCCTAATATCAGGAAAGGTCTCATAACATGACCCAATTTCTGCAAAGCAAGGACGGATTATGAGTTAGCATTACATTATTAATGTGTCAGTCCCATTTGTTTCTCAGTTTCCATTATATTGAATCACAGTATTACTACTTTTGGAAGGAATCCGATGATAAAGAGAGCCACCTCCCAGTAATCAACAACCGATGAGAGTGATAAAAGAAAAAGTCATCTTCCTAAAGAAAAATCAACCAACATCAGGGCCCTGAAGCAGCTGTGATTCCCCTGAGGCTCAGCTCTGAGTCAGAACGTGGGCTGCTGCTGATATTCATCCCATTGGATCACCATCACAGCCAACAAACTGTTGCTCTCTGAATATAATACATTTAACCACGTGAATTTTTTCCCCCAAAGATAATTATTTATTTCACCTCCAAATGAACTAAAGTGGAACTTGTTCCAGAGCAGCACTAAAAAAAAAAAAAAAAAAAAAAAGTAAAAAAACTTAGATAAACTCTTTGCAAGGTATGTTTCCTTTTCTTTTCCTCTTCGTAAGGAATGTTTGACCTGGACACAAAGACCTTTGTCCTTTCTAAAGGTTCCTCACATGATGAAGAGGGTGCAATGCTTGACCTCAGGGCAGAAAGAGCAAAAACAAGCAGGTTTAGCTGATCTTGGCAGTTTATGGGTGTTTGCTAATATCATACATTACTCAAACAAATGATTAGTCTTCTGTTACTGTGATAGGCAAAATGCAAGAAATGGTTCAAATTCTAGAATTACTATTTAGTCCTCTCCCAGGCCAATTTCCTCTTGGCTTCACCTTCAGTCCTTGAAATCCAGAGAAGTTTTGCCTGACTAAAGAGTGAGTAATGATTCCAGGAATCAACATTCAGAGATAACACTAAACTCCTAAATTAACTTTTCTCCTCAGCTCCTCTCTACAGGGTTCAAAAGCATGATGGTTATTTTGCAAGTGAGTTGGTCTTTATCTTTCTATCAGAAGGCCAATACAGGAATTAGCCTTCACTTTTCACAATACATGGATAATTTGAGGCTATTAAGAAGTGCTCGTCTATACCTCTGCCGGATGGGTGTGTTCCTGGGGAGCAGTTGTCCAGAGTTTGTCAGTAATAACCCAGTGAAGCAGCAAAATCAATCCCAATAAGTTTCAGAGGGACCCTTCCAAAGCTCTCTTGCATGTGATGGAGGGCTGCTAATGAGAGGGAGAGATCACATTCATTGCATGAGTGACAAGTGAAAGAGAAGATTAACGTTAGCATACACCTGCTCTTTGGTGCCCCAATTAAGACCTCCTACTGTCAGGAGTAACATAAGATGCAAATCAGGCGATTCCCTTCCCCCAGCCCTCAGGAAGGCTACAGCAGGCTTGGAAACAACGAGAACAGAAGAGCAAGAGCTTAAATGTTCTCTTTGTGAACTGTTTGCTCACTTAGTGGTTTTCTTCCTCCACTACCTTTTGGATGTTATCCTTCATTTCTTTCCTCATGATTCAATGGCCTCCTCTAGAGGGGCCATTTGACCTGTTTCATCAAGGCTAATCCTAGTGACAGACCAGAAAGCTGTGATCTGAATTTACAAAATTTATCCCTGTTCTTAACCAACCCCATATTCATTTGAACAAATTTTGCTCAAGCCACTGGCAATAGAAGGAGGAAATGAGTGGAAACATCATTGGAGGAAACATGTGGAAAGCATGAGGAGGGGTTTGCTCATCAACTTATCCTGCTTCTGAGGCAATATTTTAATGCAACATTGGCACTCAGTACTAGAATATCGCAAATCCATGAGCAGCTCTTGTGAATGCTTTTCCAATATGTCCATACTATCCCTTTTTGTCTCCTTCTACCGTCCAATAAAAATCAAATATTGCTTGCCTGATGGAATTCCATCAGTCAAGGTATTGATACCAAGTGCTCCAAAGCACTCATTCTTTCAGCTTCTTTATACCTGTTGGGTGAGGGGAGCAGACCAGAAAATGCAAATCCCTTCCAAGGAAAAAATTTTTGAACAAAATTACATCCTGAAATATGGAACATAAGTAAAGAAAAAGAGTGAAAGTGTCTACAACAATGCTGCAGCATGATTCTGAAAAAAAAAAAAAATTGTTAGAGAAAGCTGGAAAAAGAATTTCAGAATTAYTTAGAGATCAAAATTGGAAACTTCCAGGTAGGTTTCTGAGATCAAGGTCCCAGGACCCTAATTCTCCCATGCGGCCTGATGGGCAGAGGTGACTATGCTGCATGGTAGGTGAACATTCAGAGAAAGGGAAAAAACTCAGCAAAATCAGAATTTTTCTACAGAAAATTTCAATTTATGTAAGAAAAACTTTTATTACAACAATTTGTCAATAGAAGAACCTCCAGGAAGCTCCATTTGTGAGACTGATTGGTGAAGAAAAGAACTTACTCATTTTCTCATCCTAGACTTTTTTTTCCTCCTTCAGTAAAACGGTAGCTTTCAACAGCGCAACTAAAAAACTTCAAATGTTCCCGTTTGTTGGCCTATTCATGCTTTGTGTCAGGGATCACTTAGCCCACATCATACGAAACAATTATATACACTTGAAATTCTGAGAGCTCTTAGAAACAGTGATGCATAGGGAGGGAATAAGATATACAAGATACTCTCTCAGTCATCTATCTAGGCTCATAATCTTTTGACAAAATCCATAGACAGGAGCTAAGTGGAAAGCAATAGCAATCTGGCTCAGTTTTACAAATTCCTACCTCTACTGAAATGAGAATTATGAAATCCTGTTTCTCCCAGTAGCATTATGAGTATAAACTCTTCAGTGGCATTARCAGGCTTTCAGATATTAGTGCTAAGCTCTTGCAAGGGTACCTGGAAAGACAGACAGTACAAGTTCTCAGCCCTCAGAAACCAYCAAGTCCTGCTGCCCTGCAAACCTCTCTGATCAACTAGCTCTTTTCTCCAAAGCTGCATCTGATTTTCTGTTCTGCACATTCAATGGGGTAGGAATGGGAGTGGCAACTGGCAAATTTTAGCAAAGCACCCAAGAAATGTTTTGGAGAAAAACTATCAGAAGACACAGCGGTAGAACAGACCTTCAACACAGAGCCAGAGGTCCAGCACTACTCCTCAACATAGCTCTTCCAAAAAAGAACTAAATTAGACCCATCACCTTTCCTAGCAGGTTGCCTAAATCTGGGAGCACTAACTGACAAGGAATCACAACCAGGCATCCTCAGCTGGCCTCACTGCAGCCAGAGCATGCCTGAATCTCAACCTAACATAGTTTTTTAACCCAGCTGTTGCATCAGCTTGGCTGCGCATTGACTCCTGCAATGGGGAGGGGGTGAAGTAGTGAAYTGATTCCTGATATGGGGTTAGGGTGGGGGTAGACAGGGAATTTCTGCATAAATATTATGCAGAGACATGAAAAAAAAATTGCATTTGTGTATTAAGAGATGTTAATATGTTGAAAGTAATTTTCCATAGATTTCATTGATTGACTTCAGGCTTYGAGGTTTTAAGTGTCATTTCAGTTTGCCCACTCTAATTTACCATGTGGATGACTTACAACAACAAGCTGTTTATTACTTGAAACCCTTCCTAATTAATAATAGACAAAGAGGTATAGAGAAAAGAAAATCTAGATAATCACATTACCACCTTCCTTTCTCTTTTTTTTCTAGGAAAAGATAATATTTAAACTTGCGAGCTTCATCAAATTATTTGAAAACCTGTTAAATAAATAGGCATAGCAGCAGCAGCAACCACTGTGCAAAGCTATTATGCCTCCCTGAACTGGAATCACTGCAGTAAAGATTGTTCCAGATTTAGAAGAAAAATAAATATCACTTTGAAAGGTCTTCATCAGTGTTTTCAATCTCATCATTCTCTACTGCTGTGATTCATCTATTAAAGTATAAACATGCTAGAGAGGAAGTCAAATTTTTACAAAAGAAAGAAGGAGGGCTCAAACCTGGCTGGGAACAAATCATTCTATCACTGGCTTAGGTTGCAGTTCCAGGCAATAATTTGAACACCTCCCTGTTTCTTTGGTCCGTCTGTAAACTGTTAAAACAGTTTTCACCCCAGCATCCAGGAGAAATCAATCATCAAGACTGAACTGAACCAAATAACAGTTAAATTCTTGGATGGAAGACATAATAGAAAAACAAATATTTTTACTTGAAGTGTTATACTGCCCTCAGTGCAGACTATAGTGATGATGGTGATAAACAGCGCACTTTCTCCATACTATCAGGACAGACTGGGCTTCGAAACTTTTTCCAGAGGGTATTCCAGTGGTTCAGGTTATTTTCTTTACCCTGAGCCACTTGCAAGGCTTTACCCTGTAACTGGCATTGCAAAACGCCACAGTTTTGATTTTTCAAAGACAACCCTGATTACTCAGTAGCAACTAGCTTGGAAGAAGAACTTCAAGCACCTTTACCTTCAGTCACTATGGAGAGGTCCTTCAATTAATGGGGCAATTAGGTAATTCACATTGACGACCTTGCCTTACCTCTTTACTTCTCTGTAGCAGCCGTACTACCAATTCCAAGAGCTGGAAATGCTGGAGACAAGCCTCTARAACAATCATGATAATGCTTCACAGATGATTTTGAGGTGTTTAAAGGAATAATACACATTATCCTCATCCTTCATTTCTGGTTTTGGAGATGGGGGGATGGCAGGTGTGACACTTTCTAACTTTTCCCCTGAAATCACTTGGATGGGAAACTTCCTTTGGTTTTCTGAATGAAAGCAGAAACTCCTGCATAATCCTGTTAATCCAGCAGCTGGGCCTTTGATAAAGGAAGAGCTTTAACTATTGTAAAGCACAAGTTCCATCTGAAAGAGGGCGGCCCCACCAGGCTTGCCAGAAAACAAGCACAAAATGCTGAATTTGTTCAATATGGAGACATCCATGAAATGGAGCTTGTCCAGACCACCTAGTGAAGGTGTACAGCAACAGGAACCACCRCATCCTCCCAGTGACTGCATACAGAGCCAGACCCTGACGACCAGCACGGGGGTGATCTGGATCATTCAGCACAACAGCTGGTGACGCTATGGAGGCTTATTTAACAGGGTTGAAATTACACATAAAAAGGTTTTCCCAATTCTGGAATTTCTCTTTCCTCTGCAGATCAGTCTTCCACTTCATATTGCAGTTTACTTGCAATAAATATTAATAAGACTAGTTGAAGACAAAGCTATAACCTGAGCTGCATGTTACAATGATAATCGCATTGCCTAACTTTTCATCAAAGCTCTCAAAAGCCGAGAAGCTGAAAAGATGCAGAAATTAAAATCCTGCTATAACAAATRCTGCCACCGATCTACTCCCAGCCCAGAGTTCCTGGAGATTTGCTGTATCTGTCTGTATTCGCAGACTTTTTTGTGTTCTGTGCACCCTTGACTACACTAGTTGTATTAATCCAACAGCATGATTAGTGTGCCTAATTACAAGCAAAGAAGCAATGTATGTGTTAGTTTTCATTGTCTCTCAATGTGTTTTGGTTCAGAGTTTTTCTTCCAGACCTTTAAGACTTGATGTTCTTCAGCTGTGTCCTTAGCACAAAGAAATCCCAGCATGTCGTTTATCTGTGAGCTCTGTGCCCTCCTCAACTTTACATGTGCAGAAGTCTCCTGTGAACTGCCGTTGGTCCAGACAATGCTTTTGATTTAGCAAATGTTTATGTGACTCTTGGTTGGGAAAGCATGGAAGGAAGTCCAAGCACATCACTCTAAATAGATCTGTGGGTAACACTTTAGCTACACATTGAACTTAGATTTAGTAGCATCATTATTGCATGTAATGTTTATTTTATTAGGTTTATTTTATTAGTGTGCCCACAGCAGAATGTAAGCCTTGTCTTTGTCAACTCAAGAGGCACCCCACAAGAGGCTCTGAGTAGAAAAATATGATGTACTTCATTTTTTCCTTTGGTAAAGCCAAGCAGATGCTGACGAGTGGATAGTCACAATAAGTGTGTGTTTGGAATACAGTGCTAAGCTCCAAAGCTCAGCTGAGTTAACTTGGTGGGAAGTTGRGTTTAATTTGATCCTGCCTCTGAGTGTTCATAAAATGATGCAATTCAGCTTTAACCAGATGAGTAGAATCATCAAAATACATTATTTAAATCCCACCCTCTCACCCATGTGGCCAAATTGGAAGAAGTGTCACTTAAGTATCCCCTTCCAGGCCAGGAAAAGATCAGTCACATTTTAAATTAAGTGTCTCAAGTAAGGATTTAATTTAGACTTAATAAGACAGCGATTGTACATTAAATACCATTGGGTTATTAAAACCATACTCACTGAGGTTTTACAGCTATGTCAGGACAATATGCCATAAATGGAAAAACAGCTAACATGGCACAGCTATTGGTTCTGACAACATGTGCTAGATAGGATGTAATTATATGTTCAATAAGTATAAGATAAACATAGAAGAAATGCCCATGTTTTCCAGAATCTCCATTGACTCCTTTACCAAAGGGTCAAAGCACTATAAAACAGGACTGAAAATATCATCACCTCTTTAAGAACTGAGATTTATTAGTCATGTTGCCAGAGAAACTGAGGCATAGCTAGGACTTTAAAGGCRTTTCCTTAGGCTTGCTACAAAATCACTGGGAGGACAGAGATTTAAATCTGACCATTACGCTTGTCCTGTGCCTAAGTGCCAGACAAAGAACAAAGACAAGGTGGGTCTGAACCAGGTGGCTGCAGACCACATCCCAGCAAGTGCCCAGATGTACCTGGATCACACATGAACAAATGCATCCAGGAGGGTCTACCAGGAGCATAATGCAAGTTCTGGGCAGAGCCAAAGCACTTTGAGCTCCAGATGAGCAAAGCACAGGGGATGCTGGAGGCTTTAGACGTAAGTTGGCAACTCCTCCTGCCTTCATAACATTGAGAGCAATATTGTATTTGCATAATCACTGTGTCTACACACACATACAAATATGCCTGTGCGTGTGTGCATATATATACAATGTATATGTACACATACATATGTATGTATATGTATAAAAGGACTTTAAGGAGGGACTTTCCCACAGGAGCAAAACTTGGAAGGCAGGAATGTTTATACAGAAAACCATTTCCTTTGCCAACAAATTTCTGTATTCCCCTTGCTGTTATTAGAGACATTTGTGTTTAAACCAGAGCTCCCAGCCCTGCTTCTCCTTCCATCTGAGCCTACACAGATTGCATAATCCTCTGTTTGTGGCATCATCTCACGTTGCCATAGAAATAGGGGAAATATCTGTGATGGTGACGATGATGTCAAATTGCTTGGCCAGATAACTCTAGTATCAAAACAGAGGAGGAGAGAGTCTGTAAACAGAGCCAAAATTGTGTTTTCAATAGTTAGCAAAGAGAAAAGGTAACATTATTTATAAACCTTTGACAGGTAAATAGCTGTCATTTCCAAATGAGTAGAACTTGAATGATTGCCCTCCTGTAAAAGTCCCCAGCTCTGCTCCCAGTTCGAAAGACTTTGCTTTGTCAACATGACTTCTCCTTCAATTGCTCTTTTATTCAACGGGCTCTATAAATTTTGGACTAGCTCTGTTGCTACTGCCACAGAAGTGTTGCAACCCTATGAATGCTTTGTCTTTCATCTTCTGGCYGTCTCGAGAGGGAAAAAGGAAAAATGCAAAACCATCTTTTATAAATAACAATGCTTCTATTGCAGGACCTCCTGAGGACTTCAGACAGGGCACACAAAATCCCTGTTGCTCAGGCATACAGGAGCTGATGCAGGTGGTACATGCGTGGCTTGTGGTGGGATCCCAAGTCCTGGAAAGCAGGGTGGTTGGCTGGCTATGGAGGCCAAGAGAGTAGGTATTCCTGTGCCATGGATATCTGCTGTARATCCCATGGTGTGACCAAGGCTTCGAGGTGTCAAGATAGACAGTAAGAGTATGCATGTGTGTCTTYACCTCAAGAGGCAGGTGATGAAATAATTCAGCCTCTCTTCATGGCTGGACAGCAGCAGGCTACCTGGTGGGTAGATGGGTGACTGAAACAGTGACCACCAGCATTGAAGAAAAGCACCAAATATATGGAAGAAAAGCACTAAATGCGCAGAGCTGTAAGACTTCCTGCCCAGGCAGCCTTGCCTGTGCAGTTAATCCTTCACTACTTTGGGCTCTTCCAGTTCTGCCCTGATGCACAAACCTAGGAACTGTATATGAATTACTAGAACTGCAAGCATAATTTCTAGGGAAGCATCTTGGATCCCAGCTTTTTATTTTATCTTGCTGCACATGTTGGAGTTTTCTTTCTAGCCATTTGCTATAATAAAACCACAGGCTTACATGACAGTTGAAGGAAGCTGACCTGAAATGCATCAAGACAATTATATGCTACAATTTCACTAAATAGGAGAAAGTGGTGGCTTGGACTTTTTCTTCCCCAGACTGTTTAATTACAGCGGTATCATGGAATGCCTGCCTTGTAATAAAACTCCAATGTGTGTCCAGGTACCAGGGGATTTATTAACTTGCACTCAACACTGGCAATCAGCAGCCAGGGTCAGATGTGCCTGGTGATGATGACATCACCATTTTTGGCAGCTCTCTCCAACRAGTGTTGAGTGAGGTAATGTCCCCAAAATTAAAACTGACAGCAGGATTAATAATGATAGATTTCTTGACTCTTTTCTTTGTGTTTTAAATTGGTGTTCTATTTCTTCCATYGGGAGTTGCCAAAAGATCATCATAACAATCACTCGGCATATCAGCACAGCACAGATAAGGGTGATAGGAGACACTGGTGAACGTTACTAAGCGAGTAAGTTATTTCAGGATATTTTTTGTCATGTGAAGACACCAATTGACTGTATTTCCTGCCRCAGACAGACAGATTTCATAGCATTGCCCACCTTGCAGGAGTGCCAGTATCTTCCCCACATAAACCTGCAACACTGGATATAACTTACATGTGGCTTGCAGAAGTTGAGTGATATGGTCATTTTTTTCAGCAGATTTACATTGTTTTCAACTAGTCACAGATTGCTGAGTGTGTGCTCCTCCAGTCTTGCAGGATATCTGCAGCTCTACACCACAAAATACCTGCTGATCATAATCATAAAAATCAAGGTCAGCATGAAGGATATATTCAGATTAAGACATATTTTATTTTGGATCAATTTGCAGTTGGTTTAGCCTGTCTGGTCCAGGAGGTTTTGCTTATTTGTTTTTGAAGCTTTCTAAGGGAAAGGGAAAGGAAGGGAAACCCCAGCTGAGGCTGACACCCTGTGATCAAACTGCCCTCAGCCCCAGACCTCAGCAGCCACAAACAAATGCTGTGGGTGTAAAACCTCCACTTTGGGTCAAACCTGACCCAGAGCGAAAGAACCTCCTAACACCAGAGCACACAGACCTGCATCTGCTTAAGCAACCTGGCCTTCTTTTCTGCTCTGCTGAGTGTCAGCCTGGAAAGGTCCTTCCAGGACATCCCTGAACCTGCCATGCAGAGCGATAAGCAGCTGTGTGATAACCACTACGTCACAAAGATGCAACAGTGTTCAGACTTTCTGCATGAAAGGAACAGAGCATCCAAGTTTCCACTCTGTGGTCATAGTCCCCTTCTCCTCTTCTTGCTCCTGCTGTCTTGGTATTTTGCTTCCTTGAATTCTACTCACATTAATCTGACTTTTCCCTCTACTGTTTTTCCTGCTCCTTCTCACCTTGCCTGTATTCTCTGCTGAGACTGACAAAGCCAACCAGCAATGCCTGGGTGTAAACTTAAAGTTCAAACTCAGATTTCTTACACAAATTCACCCAACTGACCAGAAGGAGACCTGAAATATTAGGGGAAGCAACTACCTGAATCTTCCCTGTCTGTTGTACTCTATCACAGCAGCAGGGGTGGCTTGGGTACTTCTACAGTCTACTTAAATCCTCTGATGGTACTTAAACACAAAAATGAAGAAATAGGTTGTATGGAAACCTTCTGGATCTCAAGCAGCTTGTATTCGCAGCAAGTGTTGTTTACCAACAGTCACCTAGCTCAGCTGAAATCCATCTCTCTAATACTCTACTCTGCTTGAGTACAAGCAATAAAACTACACATTTGTTATACACTTAAAATACTGCAAAAGGGTTATATTGTCTTTCTTTCTAGGTRAATGGTAGAATGCATGGAGCAGTCCCTTTTCCTAAATATTCTCATCAAATAGGCAGCCCACTCATAGGTTCTCCAGCCCTTCAGCTGTCCCCACCCCTTGCTCCGTATTTGAGAGCAGAAATATACTGTCTCTATATTGCTAAAGCAAAATGAAGACATGGAAATCTGAAATAATGATGGAAGAAATGAGCAAAGTTTCGGTCATTGTTTAATTTGCTAAGAGAACAACTCCACCTAAGATTCCTTCTGCCAACTCTGACAAAGTGGCCAAAGATAAAGACAAATATGCCTCAGAGATGGAGCACAGCTGCTAAACTAGCAGTGAGGAAAAGAAAAAAGTGCAATAACTTAATTAGTAGCTGTAGCTTTTCCATATTTCTCTGTCCARTACTGTTGGTGAAAAACATAGCTTAAGATTTTGATTTTTGTTGTACAGACATTGCCCTCAAAAAGTCTAATAATAACCTTGTAGAACTCAATTTCTTTAATGGAGATAAAGTGCTTTAGTTAGSTAAATCTCACAACATATCTGAAGATGTCAAACTAAACAATGCAGCAGCCTCACCTCAAACTACAGCACTTCCAAAAATGTTTTTTTTCTTGAGGTTTGCACATATACTGTCCCCCTCCACAGTTGTATCAGTTGCAGAGAGACCTCAAGGGAAGATTATATATAAATTGATGGAGAGAGTGAGTTGGAATTGTTTCTACTGAAAGCGTTTTCAGTATAAATTGCTCTGTTATCTATGCCAAGATGTTTTGCAAAAGTTATTTTGACTTTTCCCAAGATTTCAAWGGAAGGTTTCTGAAATTCAGGGTGGGCTCTCTGGACACTCTGAACAAGAGGGGCAAATGTGTACTCACTCCAGACCCTGGTCTGGAGGTCCAAGTTTTACATTGCAAAAAACTTYGAAAAATATCATATCAGCTCCAAACAATCTCAAAATTGCAAAAATGTGGTCACCAAACAGTTGTAATTTCAAATCTAGCTGTACCATCAAGTKTAAGCTTGCTTTATGCTTCCATCATAAGCAGTAGAGATGAGAGTATAAGCAGCTATAACAATGTCTTCAGCAACTGTCCACTCATACCAGTTACTTCATATATCAGAGTACATACAGCTTTGTATTGCTTGAATATATCTAATTAAGAAACACTTAGTCATGGGGATTGCTATTCGTGCTCCACTGTACTCCCCCATATTTTTACCATATATTCCAACTAGATAAATCAACAATTCTTTCCTCCGAGACAAAAGCTCCTAACCAAGGTCACAACATGATGCCCTTAATGCGACGTGGTTCAAGGTTTGTGCTGCCCCCTCCCATGGTGCTCACCCTGCAGGGATTCAGAGACGCTTGTAGTGGGCAGATCAGCCCATAGTTTTGCTCTTGGTTCACACAGGCTTTGATTCAGCAAATTCCTCAAGCCTGTGCCTAACTTCTGTCCTGGGTCTCATCCTCTTCCTCTGGGAAAAGCCTTTGAGCTCAGTCTTAGCGCAGCTGCATGTGTGCTGGGGAGCCGTGTGTGTGCGTGAGGCTGAAGCAGAGTGGTGCTTGTGTSAACTGCTGGTACTTGGTGCTGATCYGGACTGCTGAGGAAGGATGTTCCAGCTTCCAGGACCACTTGCACATTGACAGTAATATAGAGGAGCATCAGACCTCCTGCTATGCACATTTGAAAAAAAAAAAAAATTAAAGAATGACACTATCTTAGGGGAAGAGAGTGTGGTACTCGTTTCCATGTTTGCTGTCAACCCAGACCCCCCTCTGCCAAACTCCAACCCCTGTGTGGGGCTTGACAGCTACATTTAAAAACACAGGGAGGAAGAGCTTGCCTGGGATAGAGAGGCTCATGCAGAGCTGCTCCCAGGAATGTAAGCATCGGCAGCCAGGATTCATGCAACCTGCCCAGGAGATAATAGTTAAGCAAAATCTATCTTCACATTGGGAACAAACTTCACTCCCATTAACTCTGTGGGTCCAGTAGTGGTTTCCTTCATTCCAAAAACCACTAATTTAATGTACAGTACAGTCATTCTATGTGGGGGGAAAGAGAAATTCTTTCTTCCTTCCTGTTGGAAAACTCTTTGGCAGCAACGCTTGGATTGTTTTCTTTGTAAATTATATTCATGCTGTTTTCAAGATGTTTTCCTGACTTTATTGAAATCTGACCAATTTAACGAGTAATGTAGAACTTGTTTCCATGTTAAAAACTCTGAGAGCTGCTTGGGAATAATTATTAAAACTTCCATGTGTGCAGCAAAGCCAGTCACTTTTGCAAATAACAAAAAAAAAAAAAAAAAAAAAANAAAAAAAAAAAAAAAAAGCCATAACAGAAGGACATTGCTCTAACAATAGAGAAAGTAATGCAAAACTCAAGGCCACCAACCTTTGGAAACTAGGGGCCACACTGGCCTCTTGCCAGGAACATAAGACTCACACCTGGTTTTCATGCCAATTTCCATTAAAAAAGAAATTTAATTGCCAATAAGGGACCAATACAAAGCCCTGAAATCAGTGGAGAGGCTCACGTGGAGTCTAATAGAATGTGAATCAGGCTCCAAAGACCGGATCTTTTGCACACCAGTTACTCACACTCCGAACTCCTTCAGCTCCCCTTGAACAGGTGATGGAGGGACTGCAGCTCGGAATTAACCCCGTCTGGCACAGCATTACAATGACAAATGCATGGCAGATAGAGTGGCTGCACAGCCCCTGTATGACCCAAAAAACTAGCCCCTAGATCCAGTGCAGAAAACCAGTAAGCCTTAGGTATCTGCCTAAACTTCAAGACTTAATGGTTTCCTTGTTAAGTAGGGATGACCTTTCAACATAAGTGTGAGCTTTGATAGATTTGGTGACCAAGCCCCCATGGTCCCCAATACCTYGTCTCCATGATATTTCATCTGCTCCTATTTTCAACTTTGATATACCAAGAAACAACCAAGTGGAAGAACCCTCTCCTAATGGAAAACTGCCAAGAATCACCCCTTAAAGGGCAAAGGAGGCTACCAGAGGCTGCATGTGATTTTAATAGCACCTTTTGGATAGCCATCTCTTGTCATAAAATGTCTCAAACACAGTCCAGAGCAAACAGCAACAACGGTATCTTGCCGAACTACCCATTCCCTTCTGCACAAGGAACACGAGGCAGCAAGACATGTTTCTGACAGTCGTGTCTGCATGTCTATAACCATTCTGAGCTGGTAGCGACGATGCAGCTTCCCCTTCGGGAGCCAAATGCCGGCTCTTCCTCAAACCCCCTTGAGCCCAGCTCAGGGCTTGCGGGGGGCAGCAACGATGGGGAGGTGTCCGAGTCACTGACCAGTGGCAGGCAGGTGGGAGCTGTCCTAGCTGTTATTCARGCTGGAGGCAACCTTGCTGGCTGTGAAGGATGCGCAGAGAGCCTTCTGCACGTGTTGTTCACTGAGTTGAAATAGGGAAGTTGACATGTTTATGACTTACATAATCCTTCCAGCAAGTGGTGCGTGCCACACGGCGGGACCCAGCTCTCCTCTGCTCCCCAGCCCTGCTGGCATCGGTGACAGGGACACAGAGATGGGGCCATGTGGCCGGAGAACAGACAACTATGGCATTTCTACAGACCTTTTATGGATGCTCTCCAAACTTGGATGCCTGGTTGTACAATCAGTGCTCCTAACTTACGAAAGACATTAAAAAACTTGAAAAAATAAATACAGATTTCTTGAGTTAGAGGTTTTGGTCCTTTTTCACCTCAGGGCCTAGGAACACACTGGTGCACACACGTTCCTCTCTGCTGGCCCTGTTCAGCCTCCACAGCCTGTGTTATGGCATCACTCCTCTATCACTGCCTTGGAGGTCCGCCTTTCTTCACAGCATCCTCTGCAATATTTTTAGGCCTCATCTTGGATATAATAAAAATAAACTGAAGCTTTAGGCAGCTGGAGTAGAGAGCCAGACATCTAAATCTATGGCTAAACAATAGCTTTGGGGAATTTATGGGCACTCCCTGATTTTAGCTACTCCTGTGCCGCCAGTTGGCTCAGCAGCTCTGAGCAAAGCCCTCGTAACACTTACACTTCCTCGACATCCGTAACACATCCCGGTAGCAGGAATAGATGGGGTTGTTGCTGCTGCAGTGTTGGCAGTGCCGGCTCCCACTCCCGGAAAGAGCCACAGCTCAGTTCTCCCAGAAGCTCTGATGTTTGAAGAGATTTTTTTGGACACCTAGCACCAATGTAGCTACATCCATCTGGGTGTTACTAATGCAGTATTCATTGAAAGGGGTTTAATGAATACCCYTTTCAATCAAAAGGGCACGTCTCTACAGCCATCACTCATGCCAGCAGCTCACACTGCAGGATGGATGCTCAGGAAGAGCTATTCTTCCATGAACGGGCAGGGGACTATTTTTCAATGTATCACCAAGAGGTAAGGGAGGAGGTGCTGATGCAAAGGGTTTCACTTCCTTTTTCCTACAAATACAGCCTGGATCCCATAAAGATTTCAGAGAGATGGCACACGCCGTTCCTGTCCAGAGTTGCTCAGCTCCTTTGGAAACTCCGTGTGTTGGAAGATGACACCAAGCAGACATTGGCAATGCCTGAGGACACCCAAGCACTGTGCCTGCATGAGCAGCAGCAAGCCTGGACAGCATTCAGAAAGCTATTGCAACTGCAGCACTCAGCCCTTGGGTTCACTGTAAAGCTCAAGAGAATAAACGGGTGCCAAAATTGAAGAGAGCTCAAAATGTAAAGGTCCGCCCTTAAACATCAAAAAGAAAGAAACAAAAAACCTGTTTTCCTTTTAGGGTTAAAGTTTCATTCCATATAGCGTGTGCAATAAAGTACAGTGCTGTTTAAGGATGAAGGGCATTTATACATAAATATATATATATATAGGGGGGCAATTTTTTTACCCACTCTTTCCCTGCTACTTTACCCTGGGGGCATAGAACAGTGGGCAGATGGGTGAACTTTGCCCAGGGCTTCCAGCTCTTCTGGCTGATAAAGCTCAAGAGGGTCTGCACCCTGATGTTTAGCCCCTGTKTTTGAATGCAAATGTCAGGTAGGGGACACACGAGGCTTAGCTAAACTATGGAGCTGTGGGAAAGTAAATGCAATCAAGGATTGCATGGAGGAGGCTAGCAGAACTCAGCCAAAACCATGACATTTCACTATCTGCTGAGATTTATCCTCAGTCAGGTAACGTAAACAAGTGTTAGGTTTGTCACCCAACAAAAAAACAAGGATTTTTCTTTGATTTTTATGCCCCACCACAAGTTTCAACACACATTCCTGTTTGAAAGTGCCCCTTGATGGTGTCATAGCTCTGGGAGTTGCAGAGAAATCCTGTGTTCACTTACAAATGGATCTGCAACGCTTTGCAGCTTTTAAGGGTGAAGTTTATGAATGCCATAACTAATATTTTCAGCATTCATTCCTTTAGTGTAACGTAAGCCCTTGAAAAGTTCAAACCTGGATCACAGAAATGAACATGTGCCTAGGAACTTATTTGGAAAAACAAGGAAAAAGGGGAAAAAACAGGAAAAAAAACCCCACACCTAAACCCAAATTTGACTCAAGTCTTCTTTTTTTCCCAAATACAAATTGCTTCTCTTGCAAGAAAATTCAGTTGTATTATGTGTGTGCAACAGTCTTCTTTGCAAGGCCAGCGATGAAACCACAACTAAATAAGAGATATTTTCAGAATTCTTAAATGCTAAAGAAAGCATCTTTAGGCAGGTCACATCACAATCCCTTCACTGCTTATAAAGTAAAATCCAACCATGAAAATAGATATTTAAGGTTACAAAGAATATCCTATCCTTTGTAGCTAATGTGTCCCTTCTGCAAAAGGAAAAAATAAAATCATAAAAACAAAGTTACAGCTGCCAACATTTTTTTTTAATCAAACAGAAAACTAACAATTGAGGCTTTAAAATCTCTTAGCATTTGCTCTTTTCTGAGACTGCTGTTTGCTGGGAAAAATCATGGCATTCATGCTCCAAGGCTGGAGTTACATAAGGGCTCTCAACCTGCTCTAAACACTGAGGAGGAAGGAGAGAAACAAACAAACAAAAAAATGGATCACTTTCAAGTATATTAAAAAAAAAAAAAAATCAATAGATAACAAGAGATCAACCCAAAACAGTAGGTAGGAGAAGACATGCAAAGGCTGGACACTCACCAGCAATAAATTATGCAAACTGGAAAAAAAAAAGTCTTTTATCTTTGAAGAACACTAACCATACAAACTGCCTGTAGGAGAACAGGAGGTCCACAGTACCATGTCAACAAGGCTGGGGACATCACAGGAGACAGCAGCACCATACAGGCCACARGATCCAACACGTCCTCGTTACAGCTCATCAGAGGCATCAGCCAGTGCTGAACCTCCAAATTTACCCCAACCTTCAGCTTTTTCAACACAGAAGGGCTTCTCCCCCACTTATGAGGGTCCTGGGGCACCTGTGAGCAGCAGCTTGGGGTAAACAGTGCTTAAACAAAACAAAAGGCGTGTGGTGTATAAGTGGTATTGACTTTACAAGCTTCCTGACAGGTTAACTTACTTACATCATTTAGTTCCTCCAAGGCATTTCTAGGGTAGCTGTCTCACTAAAGCAGCCTTTTTCTGAGAACACTTATTCTTGAAGGTTTAGGAGCTTTTAATCTCTTTGAGCACTTTGCTAAACAGAAAGGTTAAATATGCATTGCCGGAAACTCTTAGGGAAATACCGTGAAGGTCAAAGCCAGCACCAAAAACAGATCAGAGGAATGTGCAGAAATACAGTGACAAATGCTGCAAAGTTCCCCAGCACTTGCCATCAAATCCAGGCTGCTTTGGAGCAAGGCAGAATCTGTGCACATAAACCATTTGCAGCTGTATAAAGTGATCTTGCTTGCTCCAGAAACTACTCTGCTTTCCAAAAAWGCAATGAGACTGACAAACTTTATCATCAAAACTGAATGTAAAGGAAATACAGGGCTTACAAGAAAAATAWATTAATGCTCACAAAATTAGTCCCACTTGTGCAAATATTTACAACCATGCTTAATATCACACACTCATTTCCACTCAAAATTGATGAGCTTACTCACCCACATACTCATATGTCTTTGCCTTCATTCTCTGAAAAATCAGCAGTATTTGGCATGAGGAAAGTCCTGATGCTTATAAGCTTTTGGAAGCGCTGATAACCTGATAAACAAAATGTAAGGCAACTTCGGGAGCTAATCAGAAACCTGGCAGGTTGGGGGAGTGTCAATATTTACAACAAGCAGCCTTTCAGTAGTTAATCGCTTTTAACCTTCCTAAACTAAGATACTATAGAGGACTATATGGATGACCCCTCTATTTAATCACTGCATTACCAAAGCAGTTAGAAGAAAGGCAGCATGGAAACAAGCACCACTGAATTTATCAGGTGAGAAGCAGGCCAATTACAGAGCAGAAGGCCCCAGTTTCAGGGGTTTAAAAGAAGAAGTGTTCTGTGCAATTCTAAAGAAACAGACTCAGCACTACTTCCAAATATTTTATTTCACACATAAAGCACAGTACCCGTACCCGTACTAATAAAGAACAGACTTATGCCAGCTCCAGTGCATGCTTTTGTTATTGCATTATAGTTCATGAGAATTATTGTGCATAATTAAATAGAAAAAACTTGAACCTGGAATTATAAAACCGTCACCACAAACCAACAATTCCTCTTGATATGTATTAAGTCATTACTATTTTTTTTTTAAGAAAGAAAAAGAGAGTCAGGGAGGAGGGGAAGGGGGGTGGGGGGAGAGAGAGAGAGAGAGAGAGAGGGAGAGGAAAATTCTTTTCCTTGTAAATCATTAAAAATGCATGAAGGTTTAAAGCACGCCAGAAACAGCCTGTGCATTCATTTAGGAGACTATGCACAAGAAAATCCACTGCATTAAAAGCAAAAAAAAGGAGATTTTCTAAAAAWCACCACAATGTGGAGGAGGCTGGTGGGGTGGAACTGTTATCAGCAGGGAGGACTCCTTGCTCGTAACCCCCTTCCACAACCCAAATGTTGGTGGCCTCCACAATGGAGTATTTATGATGCTCCAGAACTTTAATCTTCCAGAGGAGCAGATCACAATAACAAACATATGGATTATTATCCTTGCTGTTATTCTCGCTGTTGCATTCAGCTTCTGCTATAGAAAGGCCTCCAAGTTCAGATGGCTGATTTATTGAACTACAGATGTGAGCTCTCCTTTGCATGAGAAAGGCAGCGTGGCAGAGGAGTCGGCCAGCGGGGCCAGCGGGGCCAACGGCAGGTTGCACAGCTCCTTGGCACGTCCAGTTTCTGAAGGCACTTCAGCCCAGGGCTTTCTTGGTCTATGAAAGGGAATGCTTACCGTAAATGATGTCCCATCACAAGATTCCTGGGGTTTATATAAGTACAAAGTACCCTTACAAAATATGAGACGTCACAAATCATCAGGGGATGATCTTCACGCTGCACAAAGCCGCGCTCCTGTGGGACAGGGTATCTGACCTTGATGTGTCACACTGCAGCTACAGAGAGACGTCAGGAGAGAGGGAGCTTTTGTTGTGTGGGGCTGGTCTGTTTGTTTGTTTTAACTTTTCTGCGTCATCCTCTTTAAAATTTTAGAGTGAATTTATTGCTCTTGAAATCCATATCCCAGGGGCCTGGGCCCACTCAGCACAGAAGAGAGTACATGGGAAGCAACGCTGCATCTTCCTCCCCCAACATGCCTCAGTCCAAACTTATGTTAAGTGCTTGGGAGATAGAAAAAGGTTTAACTCGGTCTCTCTGGGAACTGCAAAGCCAAGAACTGCCAATCCTGATAGTTTTCCATGGATACAAGCAGACTGCCAGCACCGCTCATTAATTGTGAGGCCCTAATAATCCAAAGGCTCCTCATCACTGGTCCTGCATAGCCATAACGAGCTGGGGAACCCAGGCCCAGCACATGCTGCTCAGCTCTGCCTCCCCCAGCCCATGTGCCTTTGGAAGGCACCATCAGAGCCAGATGTTGCTTCATCGTGATGCCAGGTCTTGTGAGGAGAAATTCCCCCGACAGAAGAGGCAAAACGCTGGTTCAGACCAGACCCGTTGTCTGGTCTTCGCCATGCTACCTTAGAGTAGAATATCAGACTGAAGAGAAATGTCAAACTTGATGGCTTAACTAGYGCAGGGTTGGTTGTAGCCCCAACAGGGAGACAAAACACCCCACACCTGCCCAATGCAAGTTCCTGTGCAGCACCTCTAGCAGCAAGTACTAGAGCTGGCTTACGCACACCACAAGTGTGATCCAGTTTGGGGACAGTCASACCTTGTGGCTTTTCCAGGGCTAAAAGTTTTGCAAACCCCACAAAAGGATGATCCTCTACTTTTCTAATCTGAGCCACTGACATGCTCTTCGTCCCAYTGCTCTTGACCAGGTGTTGCATAATTCCAGCAATGCTGCATTTCTCCTAATGATGCCGTTTYCTATGAGAGGCAGAAGGCAGTCAGATTTGGCCTAATCAGCAATTTTTGAGCTTTTGATTCCCACTTCTCACCACCCCCTCTTTTTGTCAATATTCATTTTAAATGCTTGAAGTCAGGGCTCCTTTTTAGCTGACTGTGCTTTCTCCGCCTCTCCCCTTCAGGTGCATAACTGACAAGTGACCACTTCACGCACAAGGAAACTTTAAATGAATCCCAAAAGGAAGTATTTGTGTAAGAATGAAAGGACATCCTAGGCTTCTGCTGAGTAATGGATGTGATAATAATTATAGTGAGAGGAAAAAAAAAGATCCAAAGTGTATTTTTTTTTAGTGTGTGTCTAGGCTCTTGATCAAAAGATGTGAAAGTACTGAGAGTTGCACGAGGCAGAACTGCACTTTGATTCTGGGGCACTCAGGAAGGACAGCTGCCAATCGGTGAATCAAGAAACCGGCTACTGTTCCTTTGAACTGTATCAAAAGCTCATCAAATTTATTTCTTCCAATTACTGGCTGAATTTATTATGAGGGAAAATGAAGGGCTGGTAGCCAAGAGCAGGAGCTGTGAAGCTTTGCTGGTCAGGGCTGCAATAATGCACAGCTCATCATTCCCCTGACCACCTGCAAACCCCCTCCCAGCTCCCGACTGGCCCAACATCTTACTCTTGGACCCGGGCAAGTGACTGCTAATCCAGGCCCAGGCTGCTTTTCCCTGGAGAGAGCCCATTGTTCCCGCCGGTCCATCAGTTTTGACATGCAGAACAATAAAACTGCAATCAAATGCCTTCCTACTGTGCACAGAGGCCTGGGTTCAGGTTTCCCCTGTATCTCTTACCTTCGATCTGTGACTTTGAAGGGTTTGTTCTTGAATTGTATCTGGATATCTCAGAGTGGAATTTCATTCTTCTGAGACTTTTAAAAGTAGACCAGGCAAAGAATTAGCATGATATAGGGAGAATATCGAGCGGCCTGCAGATCACAGAGCTTTCTGTCACTATTGTCTGTGCTGCGGGGGGCTGCCTGGAAAAGATGATGCTCTCCAGAACGTGGGAATTAATGTGAGGCACTCCACTAGAAGCAACGGATGACATCTATGTGCTTTCTGCTCCTTGAAGAATGAGGAYGGTTTTCCCTCTTAGCACACAGCATAAGTAAAAAAAAGTACTAGCTAAGATCAAGCCAGCATCTTCTCCCTGAGAGTGGCCAAAAAAAAAAAAAAGAAAAAAAGATGTCTTGGGAAGAGTGAAAGAATATAGGAAGCACACTGTAATTTTTCAGGACATACTTGCTCCATGTGGGCTGAAAAATGTGTGAAAGGGCAGATCAAAACTGAGCCCATTTCTCCAATCTGAGATACATTTGTGCAGGGCTCAATCCCGCTGCTTTGAGTGCTGTTTTGACTGCATAAGGGAAATACCTTGGAAGCAGAAAGCCTGTGTATAGGGGTTTCAATTAACAGGTTTAGATTTGGGATTCAATGCACTTCATCAACGTATACCCTGGAACAAGCCACCAAGGCTCAGTATATCCTAAACTAAGGCAAATTCTCCAGTCTGCCAGGTCCTGGTACACACACCAGGCCTCACGCTGCTCAGGGTGCAGCTGCCAGCTCACGCTTGGCAAGTGCCTGGAACAGGTTTAAAGAGTCACTCCTTTCACCAGAGCAAAGACACAGTTTCAAGGATGCTAATGAAAGAATTAGTGCCCTCGACTTTGTCCGTGCTTTCTGAATGAGATGTCCTGGCTGCTTAGCTGGGGAGACTGTCAACATGACTGATCACCCCTCAGTGCCTCAGGAAAGGGCTTTGTTTATATTTCAGGTAGACAGTTTTACTGCATTATATATGATCCTTGCAATTGTTACCACTACCTTCTCCTACCCTAAATATAGTGCGAATGCTGCCTGCCCTTACCCTAGTGTCACTTCCATCCTTCATGCTCCCATTCCAGGTCTCTTACACCACTTCCCCAAGTGACAAATCAGTACAAATGCATCCCTGTCCTCTGGGGTGCAGCGAGGAGGTAGGAGCGTGTTTCTGGGGCATGCACACGGAGGGAGGCTGTGCCGTGGAGCTGAACAGAAACTCTCATCCCGTGCAGCTCCTCGGAAAGCTTCCCATAAATATATGGGGTTTATGCTGACAAGCTCGCGTTAGATTTATACCCCCAGGACACAGGAGTCACTTGTTCAGTCATACACAGTCCCCRAGCCCCTCGCAGATTTAGTGGTGGGTAACCTGGTAACAGGACACATCTTGGATTCCACTGCCTGTCAAGGAGTCTGGTTTCTTATGGATTTGGGGGAGGGGGCAGAGGAGGGAGAAGGAGGGGACGGTAGAACCAAGGTGAGAGCAGAGCTTTGGCTCATTGCAGTCTGTGGGAATCCCACTCCAAAGCATCAATAAGGCAGGGAGTGTGAGCRGTTACCAGTGCACCCCGTCACTGTGGATTTAGTCTCCCTTGGCAATGCTCCTGTCACCCTGGGCTGTCCTGCACACTGTGCATCCACTGACTCCAGCTTGAAGTTCAGCTTCTGCATCCGAAAATGAAACAGCATGAAACCAGATTACTCAACAGAATTGGAGTGAAACAGTGAGAAACTCAGCAGGCAAACCGTGGTGCTCCTCCCATGACAGATCAAGCAAATACAGCACRGTCTTCCCTCTTATTGCTTGCTATGTGCTTCAAGCAGTGCCACGCACAGCTACCTGAATTAAAAAAGTTTCACCACCTATACCAGCCCAATTTGCAAGGCATCCTGACAGCAAGAACCAGGTGCCACCATTACAGAATTGCTTTTAGATCCAAAGGATGCCTGGGAGGAACGAAGAGAGGYGAAGGGGCAGCAGGTCATTCCTCCTTCCATTTCCTCCCACTGCACGTGTCTCACAGTCACTCACCGCAGGTCAGGCTTGAAACTGCTTTTCAGCTGGGCAGTTTAGGATTAATTTAGCACCTTACCTAAGACCAGATATGGAAACAAGAACCAGCGTTTTAAGACTTCTGTCTCCAGAGAAAGAAATATTTCATGGTGTTGTTCATTTGCCTCAACGTTTATAGGTTTCTTCAGTGATTACACRGTAAAATCTGGGATGGAAGATCAAGAACAACTCTTCTTAGGAAAATAGAGCCACAAATCACTGAAATGCAGATTATTTCCCTGAAATTACAGGTTTCAGCATGGGCAGGAGTTAGAATATAGATAGGGCATGGAACTTACCACCCTTTAGTAGCTAATTCAATATGAACAAGAATTTCACTATGTAACATTCAAAATGGAGCAGATGTAAGAAGAAAGTGTCCCTAAAATAACCTCAGTTCAACAGAAATTACTTCAACACCTGAGTTTCCCTGGAAAGTCTCCTAATCATGCACTGACCTGTTTTAACTGGGATTGACTGAAGGATCCACTGAGGTTACAGCCCAAGTAAAATGGAAGGGAACCAGGAAAACACTGACCATGATGAAAACAACAGCAAAGCAGGAAAGTGCAAATGCCRACAAGTCATTTCCTTTCTGTAATTAAGGTTCCCTGACAAGACACAGTAAACACAAGACGATGCAATACCTTAAGAATTTTACATTTCCGATGGCATTAGTGAATCTCAGATGCCCTCAGATAATTTGCAGAAAAGGTCCAGTCTGCCTTCGCTCAGAATTGAAAAGAAACTTCCTTCTTCAGGTGAGGAGATAGCCGATTTCATACATAACTCATTAGCCACTCTGCTGAATTGCCAATTACTAATTGCTTTGATTGGTAGCTTTTGAATAACATCTGTCCATCAAAGTACTTGGGCAGATCCACTTTTCTCTCCCACTTGCCACTGATCAGCTGCCAGTAGTGACCCTTGTTGATCTTTCCTCTTCCGGAGATGTTGATCTGTCAGACAACCAGTTTGCTTAACTTTTTGAGCTATCCTGCTGGCTCGATTTCTCCTTTTGTTGTTAAGCTAAAACCAAACCAAACCAAAAAATATCTCTTGACTGTGTGTCAAAAATAGCAAGCACAGTTTTTTTTAAACAAATGACCCGCAATGCCACATCAGTGGCTGTGCTCTGTAAAAGATAAGGAGAATCAGGGCTGCAGCTTAGAAATGCAAGCACACTGGTGAGAGAATAATTTCCAGCTTATGCCATAGCACTCTGAAATACAAGGTCGTACTTACTTTGAGCTAGAGTAACAGCAAAGCATTTCTATTTTTCCCCATTTATTCAGGCTGGCTAGCTTCACTTTTCCTTCTGCACCCACCCARCCACTTTCACGGAATGCACACAGTGAAGCTACAGCAAATAAAAAATGTGACTGTAAAACTGAGCAATCGGGTTTCCTAACCTATAATACTTCAAACTTTTGAAAATAACTTGATCAAGTCTCAATAAGACTCCTTTAAAATAGCAAACCATCTCCTGCATGAAAATGTATTCACCAGAGTGTAGTTAATAGCCAGCTACAAGAGACCATTTTTACCACTGAAATTGCAGCTAATTCATCACATCTCAAGGGTTTTTTTTTTTTTCCCCCTCACTGGTAACTTTCATTCCATCAATACAGTGCAGCAACTCTTCATACAATATAGCCCTGATAAAGCAGAGCAGAGCCAGGACTTGGAGAAATACAGTGAAAATCTGCCCTGTGAGGGGCCAGAGCCAGGCAGGCAAGCTGAGGACCACACAGCACCGAGGGACTTCAACCCACCTAAAGAAGTAGCTGCCGAGCTCCCCCTGCTTTAGCTGCAGCTCATTAGCCTCCAAACTTCTCCCGAAAAGCAGGTGAACTCTGGTGTCAAGATCACAGCTATAATTGCAGYTTTCCCTGAACGCGGGCTGCTCAGACTCATCTGGCAGCAAACAGAAATTAGACCGAGCAGCTAGTCCGGGAGACTCCTCTGTTGTCAGCACATGTCGCCTGTGCCATGCAGGCAAGCAGGGCCGGCAAGCCAGAAATAATGGGGCAAACTTGSAGCGGGCTTTATTTGTCACTGTCTCTTTTTTTTATAAATATTTACTGCACAGAATGTTAAGAGCATGCTACAGGGAAATGCATAATAAATGATAATCTGGGTAAAGGATGTCAGTGCACTTCTTATGCTAAAAATCAAATCATGATTTTTAACTGTTGAAAAATATTAGGATGCACCATCTATCCCTTAAGGAAGCAGATTAATACTGTTAAGGAAGAAGAAAAAATATTAATAAAAGGATTCTGTATTCAATTTTGTTTGCTTATTTTACAGACTTTTTTTTCCAGTTACATTATTAAAGATTAAAGACCTAAGACATTTTTGTTGACTGGGAAAAATAAAAAGAATGTCATCTCTGTTGACAAGTGAKAGGGGAAAGCAGGGAGGGGTCTGACTTTTGTGTAGGTTTCATTAGAAATCTTTAGCCCACTTGATAAAATAGCACTTGTTTGACTAACAACTTCTCACACTAATCGTGCCCATATTAACAGAGGGAGCACAGAACACAGAAGCAACTCAGAGCAAACAACRTCCTCCCCACGCTCACACTCCAGCAGCAAAGGACCATAAGCATCAGCTCTATGTGCTCGGTAAGGATCTTCAGAACCTGCCTTGCTAGCTCAGATTAGAAATTCAAGAGAGGGAACGTATATTGAAATGCTAAAATCTTCAGCAATTGTGGCATCCACTGGGAAAAAAATCTAGAGGAGAGGACCAACAAAAAATAAAGCAGGGCAACAGAATTATTAATCTCTCTAAAGCACAGTAAGGGCTCTCTAACTGGAACTGCACCCTCTGGAGGATGCATCCCAACAGATCTGCAGCTCCGATCAGATCACATATTTATGTGTGTGTTCTATCACATGCTAACATGAGACTTTTTTTTTTTTTTTAAATCTTGTATACAAATGAAAGAAAAACAAAAAAAAAAGCATGAAGTTTCCATCAAACTTAGAGAATTTGAATGGAGATTTAATATAGCGATATCTAGTTTGCAACAAGAGTGTGACAGGACTATTTTTATTTTTCTGCTGGGGGTTAGGTGCTCTCTGGTACAGCAGCATTTTTTTATTATTATTATTTTTAGAAAAACATATTAATCATTGATGAAGCTGTGAAGTCTTGTCCGGACTCTGCGTATTGTGAGCGGTGTGGCAGGTGAGGGCAGCGAGGCAGAGCAGCTCCAGCCACGTCACGGCCACGTCTGCTAAACCCACGTCAGCAGGCTGGCCTCCGCTCTGTGCACGGGAATAAATTTCACTTTTAAAGAGCTACACAAAAATAGCCAGCAGTACTCCCAGCTGTGCGGGGTATAAACCACTTTTTTTTTTTTCCCTTCTCTCTCTGCCATATTCATCGTGCCTAATAATAAAATTCAATAATTTCTAGCGTGGGGATGAACCGCTCTCTCTCACGAGAGACCTGAAAAACCAGCCAGCAGCCGCCTGGCAACGCGTTGCCTCCCCAGAAGCAAAAGGAATTTGCATCCCCTCATGCCCTCCTCGGAGCAAGCGAGAGCTTCAGCGGGTCCCAATTTGCATCGCTKTAAGAAACGGCCCCACTTGGGGCGAAACCAAGAGGCAGCGGCTCAGCCTCCGACCACGCGCCTGACATATATAATCTAGATTGGCTTTCCCAGGCAGACCTTTGATTGAGGAGGAAGAAGAGCAGCTGGTCCAAGTAATCTGCTCCGAGCAATTTGCATAATTTTCTCCCCCGTTTCCTCCAGCATTGTGAGCCCGGCGGCGGCGGAGMGCGGGCGGCAGATGCTGTGTCGCTCCGTCACGGGGTCTAGCAAAGTGGAGAACGTGGGTCAGAATTCATCTGCTAAATATCCCCAACAGGTTAAACAGTTCTGGAGAGCTTCAGTCACAGATCTTCTTTTGAAAAGCTCTTTCTTTTTCTTTTTTTCTTTCCCCTTCGCTGAGTACAAATGATTCCATTTCTCCAGCAATTGCACGTTTCCTTTCACACTTGCATGCTATTCAGAAAGATGCTCTTTGTGTTTTCTTTATGAAACTGGCTTCCAGGACCAAGTATTTCTTTCCTCTGCTTGGAAGAAGAGCCTGTTACAAATGGCTTGTTTGAGAGCAGAGAGTCAGGCTTCTAGATTAAAAACGAATACACATTTAATATTAAACACTGCGTTGTTAACCATGGCAGAAAGGGGCTAAAATCCATCCTTCAGAGGCTCAGTTTTGCATTGGCTCTAGGATATTGGTGGAGGCTGCAGATCTTGCACTTGGCCAAGCTGCTTCCAAAACGAGTGCTTGAAATCGGGCATCTGAACAGCGGTGCTGCAGAGCTGAAGGACACTCCGTAAGCGCAGGGCTGCTTATTTACCCCGAGCAGAGCTCAGACCCAGGACTGTGCTCGCATGGTTTTGAGCCTGGCCTTTTGCCATAGAGGGGGCAGAACAAACAGGCATCATCTACCTGTGAAAAATGTACATGTGATTTGCTCTCCAACTATAGGGACACAAGCGCTAAACCCCAGCATTTCTTTTTAAATCCTTTTGGGGAGCAGTGAGGTATTATCTTAAATCTTCAAAAAGCTACCCTTTTTCCACCAGTCCTTTCCAAGTTCCTAGAGACAAATAATATTCCTAATTCCTTTAAACGGGCTCTAAGAAGCAAGCACAGTGAAGGCAGCTAGCTACACTAGGTGCCCAGCAGCCGCAGTTCTCACCTCAGAGGACCAGTGTCTGCAGCAGATAATTAATCATCCACATGGGTCCTGTCCTGGCCCGCTCCCTCGGGCTGCTCCCTGCTCTGGTGCCAAGACTTGCCTCGTGTAGGATAAGATAAAAATACCCTGCACCCGTGCGAGCTCCAGCTGCTTATAGGGACCTACTTGTCCACAGCCTGCAAAGCCGCTATTCCAGGGCAGCTGATTTTAAACAGGCAAGCTCATCAGGCGAGACCGTTAATTTTGCCTTGTGAACGCCCCAGTAACTGAGTTTAAAAATCAGTTGGGATAAAACCTCAAACACACAAATATCGTTCCGTTCCTTCCCTTCCCTCGTGGGAGGCAGCCACCCCTGGAAAGTAGCAGCGCTAACTGCTCACTCAGCTGCTGAGGATGGGAAACCTCCAGCAAAGGTGGGGAGGTGGCAAAACCAC